TCTCAGAACTCTTTAAAATATCTGAACTTAAGTGAACTTCATAATTCTTAGATTTTTGTGTTTATTTTTCCAGTCTTATTGACATATTAAAAATTTAATCATTATAAACTCCAATAGCGGAAAAACAAATATCATCTTTTACAATAAGTAACAGAAGTGAATCTTTATAGATCTAGGCTACTCATGGGGTTCACTCTCTTTGGTGTATTCATAACAACCTGAAATGTGAAATTGTGTGACTTTGAAGGATACCATGTCTATCTATCTATCTATCTATCTATCTATCTATCTATCTATCTAATCTATCATTTACCTATTTCCAATTTTTTAAAATTTCTATTACCTAGCTTATTAAAAATGCATTTTTACTGGTGAGTAGGCACCTATTAGGTCAGGAATTATGTATTTTCTCTTGTTTATTATTATACATCCTGGGTCTAATTGCAAAGTAAATATTTATTGAAGAAAACATGGAGAAAGTAAAGAAGGGAGGAAGAAGGGAAGGAGGTAGGGAAGAATGGAAAGCAGGGTGGAAAGTAAGGGAAGGAAGAAATGTATTAACTATTTTTGTTGTTGTTGTTCCTTTCCTAGACCTTATCAGTATATAAAATAGAATGGCTGCTACAGAGTAGGTACTGAAAGTGTCCACTGTGGACAACAGAAGGCTTTGCAGTTTGGGTACTACAGGAAGAAAACACTGAGTCATAGTTGGTTGTACAACCCTTTTTATTGAGAATTTACATCAGCAAAAGAAGGGGAAGAAGAAGGGATGGTTAGATGTGACAGAGGTTGTATCCCCCATTAGGAGCTCTAGAGTAAATGTTGCCTGTTAGAGGAGTTCTATTTCAGCTGCACATGGCTGAGCCCTTGGACCACTGCCTTGGTCAATCACTGGCTGGCAGCCACTCTGAGAAGATTGGCACCTCGGCTCGAAATCTGAGGCTGACCATAAAGAAGCTACTAGCTGGAGGCTGTTAGATAACCACTGTCCTTGAAGCTAGCATTTCTTTTCTTAAATGGGGATGTGGAAGACACATCTCTGTATCCTCTATACCAGGTATGAACTAGTTTCTTTCATTATGGAAAGCAACCTAAGATATACCAACTTCTCCCTATCAAATAACCAGCTCCAAATAAGAATGGAATATAATTCTGTCTGAGAAAAGTGTAAAAAGGGGCACTCATGCAAAGGAGTCTGTGTGTTTGTCAGTCTCCACACTGCATTTCTTTATGTTTCTACTTTGCTTATTAGGGGGATTCACAACAAATGCATCTCTGATTTTTTATAATTGAAAGCATAACATTGATCAATATTAAAGAAAACAGATCTCTATTCTTTATAAAAAATAAGAATTTTTTTATAAAGGATTCAAATGGATATCATTTGGTGAAACTTAAATGAGTTAATATCTTTGTTTCTCTTATTACCTTCCTTTTTGTAGGTTTCCATGGGAATCTTTGAAAAGTAACTGACTACAGCTGAATCTATATGTGTTCTAACAAGATCAGATTCAATTAAAGATCTGATGCATCTGCTCCTTGTGGTTTATGAAAAAAATCAACATGAATTTATTGAATAATTAATATGTACAGATTATGCAAACTGCCTGTGAGAAATTCAGAACCCAAGGAAGCGCTTGCCTGTGTTCTCATATGGCAATGAGAACTGAAGCTAGGCACATATTCATCAACATGAGGTAGGAGAGAAAATATTTTTCACCCATCACAAGGTTCATGTCTGAGGCTTTTATAACAAAACACAGATTAACAACAGAAAAATAGGATAACCAAATGTATTTAACATAAGCTTTATATGACGCAAAGCCTTCAGAAATGAACATGTAAAGAACCAGGGAAAACTGCATTTTTACAGGAAGTCATACAAAAGTGTGATTGGAGCACAAAAGAGTATGACCTAAGGATAATAAACTGGGGTAAACTTAACAAGGCTTGTTTGTTCAGATTCTTCTTGGACTCCCCATGTGACATTTCTTCCCTCCTGTAATAAGACAGGACATCTGTCACATAAGGTTCTTCAGGAGAGAGGGGAAGTCAGAGCGACCTTCCTGCTTCACAGTTTTCTCAATTTATTTTGGCTTAAAATACTCAGTATGGCAAGATTCCACATTTTGGGGTAGCATTTCCTATACCCCATTAATGACAAACAAGAGTATCCTAGTTTATTTTTTCCCCAACTGAAATTGTTTTTTATAATCCCAGAAAAAAAAAAAAAAAAAAACCTGCTAGGTATGGGGTAAGTGAAAATGGAGGTTAAAATGACAGTATTGTAGACAGTTAGCCAGCGAGTTATTCAGTATCTCAATTACTATAAATTGAGTGTCTACAGTTTGCCAGTGACTATGATAGAATCCTAGGACACAGAAATTGACAACGTAGACAATATCCTTCCATTTGCTGAACTTATACATGACCAAACTAATAATTCCAAAGAATTGGAAGGGTTAAGAATGAAACGAAATAAGAAATGTTACAAAGAGTAAGTACGGTAGAACTGGGAAGCTGGGAGCTGGTAAATTTTATGTAGGATGATCAATCAAGAATATTTTGAGGCCATGTAATTTGAGTTGAGATCTGAGAGGTGAACAAACAATAAATTGAGCTTTTTGGGAGAGAATATTAAAAAGAAAAGATAACCAGAAAGAAAAATTACAAAGTTTCTGAGATAGAAGTTTAGTCTATTCTAGAAGTATGTGGTACACTAGAAATACAATACAAGACACATATGTAGCCTTAAATTTGTTAGACATTTAAAGAGTAAAATAAAAGTGGTTCCATTACAATAATACTAAATTTTGTCTTATTTTATGTAATGTACCCTAAATAGCATTTCTACATTTAATCAAATTAAACATTAATGAAAATATTTTACTTTAATTTTTTATACTAAGGTTTAAAAATATGCTACATATTTCAGACTTACAAAATGAATTTAAATCAGAACATTTAGATATGGTAATTGTATTTTAAGTAATCATAGTCATTTGTGACTCATAGCTACCATATTGGATGGTGTGATTATAGAGACTGAAAGAAGGCTACTGTTTCTGGATGGCGTCTAAGAAAGAAAGTGTATTGAGAGGAATTAAGAGCTAAAAAGAGTATATAAAGCAAGCAGGGCCTTCTAGGCAGTGGCATGAAACTTATATCATATTCAAATTACAACAGGAAGTCATTAGAGGGTTTTAAGAAAAAAAACTGACCTGATATAATAACTGCTATTAATAGACTGTGCATGCTGTGTAGAAAACAGCCTGTAAAGCATACAAGAGTAGATGCAGAAAAACAGTCTTCTTTGAGATACATTGGCAGCATAAGCAGTGGACATATATGGGAAAAATATGGATATGTGTTTTGGAGGTAAAAGCCCACCAGACTGAATTCTACCAGAGCGATCAGATATAGGGTAAGTATAAAGAAAGGAATTAAGAATGACTCCTGTTTTTGTTTGTTTGTTTTATTGTTGTTGTTATTCTTTATTTTTGCAGCAGCAAGTGGATGGTGGTAGCATAAATCGAAATAAGAAAGACTTGAAGTTTCAGAGGACAGAAATGGAAATTCCCGTGGGTTATGTAAAGTTTGAAATGACAGTCACAATTCAAAATTATGAGTACACAAGATGTTTTGTTAGAGTGGAATTCAGATTTTGAGAGTGTTAATGTATAGTTATTATTTAAAGTTAAGAGACAATGACATTACCTAGAAAAGGAAAGAAAAGGAACAGAAGGGGAGAGAGGAGAAGATAAAGGATTAGGTGAGAGGAGTAGAGGAGAAGGGCTGACAATGCCTACAACAAAAGGCAGAAAATTAGTTAGGAGGACAAAGGCTATTTTCAAAGACAGGTAGTGGCAAAAGCCTAGTTGGTATGCTATAGAGAGAGACAGGAGGTGAAGAAATGGAGATGGCAGTACGAATACTATTTTCAAGGAGTCTATTTAAAAAGCAGAGAAACAAGAAGGAAATTGGAAGGGGGATGTGCATTTGCAGGGAGAGCATGTTCTAAAAAATTATATCATTAAGGTTGAGAATCTGAGATTAAGCCAGGTAAATCAGTTTACCCAAAATCTCGCAGTACATAGTGAAACCAAGCTGCAAATACAGATATTTCTGACATCATGGGCCAGGCCCTCATGCATGTTATACTGTATGTTATAACGCCTCTTGGGGAGGAAAGCTGAATTTTGGAAAGCCAGCATCTTTTAAATGTACTGGTATCAAGTAAGGTATTGATTAGTCTAGTTGATAAGAAGCTGAACTAAGACTGGAATTATGAGAAAGAAAGGACTGCTGAAAAATACATTACCAACCAAATAAGACCCCAACAAAGGTGAGGCTGGGCCTCATGAATATGGGAATAAGGAATAGCCAAAGATGACTTAGGGCTCATAGGTTCCCATACATAGAAAAATATGGTGGTCTGAATCTACCATGAATTTGGCTTTCATATGACGTTCAATTTAATTAATACATTTCTTCACAATCCCTCATCTGCTTTTTGGATCTAAATGGCTTTTCACACCTCAGCTGACTAATGATGATTTTGAGCTATCATTTGGCAGCACTGCCCCCTAGTTGTTTCAGGATTTTTTTTGTAAAAATATGCTTGACCTTCTAATGTATTTTCCAGAAATCCCTTACGCGCGACAGCAAGTTGATCTTTTTAAGTAAAATATTGGCAAAAACAATGAACAGAAAAAAAAAAGTTCAAAAGAAAAGATATTAAGCTTAGTTTTATGAAATTATATTCTGATATGACAGCAGATTTAACTTGAAATATGTAGACATCTTCATGTAGTATTATGAGTAATTTTCCACCTTGCTTTGGAACCTGAGTAAAGATTGCAGTCTGCTAACCTTGAGAGTCAGCCTCACCAGGATTTTCCAAAGGATTTGGTGGATCTGTGTGAGGCCAGTTATCAACACAGCTCTCAAGATGGCCAGGATAGCACATGATAATGCACACCTTAAATACCAGCTAGTTAACCTTGTAAAATTTAACAGGTTTTATTGAAAATTCTCAGAGTGGTAGCTATTTTTATTTTATTTCATAGACAAGGAGACAAAGGTCTCTGCCAGTAATTTGGTCAAAATCTCTCAGCTACTAAATGGCAGAGCCAGGAGTCAACCCAGTTAGGGTTTATAGCAAAGCATGTACTCTCAGCAATAATATGGATGTGGCTTCTGAGAAAGTACTTGAGAGGTACAACCCAGTGATCATCTATGTAGCTTCTTCATGGTAGCTTTTGTAGTGTCTCTGTAGTGTGCAGATTCTGTTGCAGGGCACATTGCTGCTACTTTTCAGGCACTAGAGAAATGGAAGATTGTAGTGTTTATGATAAAGAAGAGATAGTTATATATAAAAGCAAAAAAAGAGAGGAAACAGGGATATTAATTCCCAACAGATCGGTGAAATTTGCTAGAGATCATAAATATGTATCATGCAAAAATATTTTCCATCTAACAAGGGCTTTACTCTTTGCCCCACTCCTACTCTGAGTTTAATTATTGCTAGAGGCTTCTCTGTTGTTAGATTTAGTACTGCAATTTTGCAATTACCTGCCAATCCTTCCTCTGTGTTTGTTTTTTGTTTGTTTGTTTGTTTGTTTTATTTTGGAATCTTCTTCAATCTTGTTGCATCCACTTGTATGACAAATCAAGCAGGTCCATGCAACACACAAGGACCCAAAAGATGCTCTAATGTCTTTGGACTTGTTGGTTGAGTAACCATGTTAATGATAACTTTGAATAAAGTTAATGCAATATTTTATGCCCCCAAAACACTTTTGAGTTTCTAATTTTGTAAAAAATTTTTCATTTTCTTTGGGGTGTAGTAGCCCTTTATTTTCATGAATGTTGAAAAATGATACATTTTTAGATGTACCACAATATTATAGCTCAAATTCTAGTTCAACACCAAGATGTTCTGAATATATTTGTAGAGAGAGGTCATAGATCTCCAACCATACAAACTGAAAGTAAAGCGTCAGCAATTGAAGTAATTTATTCACTCATCCAATGAGTAAACATTTATCTCAAGTCTGCTGTGGGCTTGACAAAGGGCTGAATGCTGAAGATGCAATAATGAACAAATACACATACTCTAATAGCTAGTAAGTATTATGAACACAGATATGATAGAAATGCACACAGACCACTAAACAAATAATATGTAAAGTCATGTGCTTGGTTTTGCTCAAAAATTATTCTGTGAACTGAAAATATCCCTGTGAAGAATAAAAGGCCAAAATGGCATTTCATATTATGAAGAAAATATTCTTGCTCTCTGTATAGATGATCACAAGTAATTTAGAAAAATAATACTACTTTCCTAGACTGGAGAAAAATTGAATGTACTTCCTTAATAATGATAGACACAGATACAGATACAGAGAAAAAACAAAAACAAAAACATAGACCCATTGTTTAGATGTATTGTCTACCATTCAGAAAATGTCACGGCAAGTATAATTACACATTATCATATTTAACTAGGTGCACTGTGCTGCTTACACTTGTGTTATTTATAATTCCATGAATAACTCAAAAGTCCAAATGTGTCCAGGCTGCTGTAGATTAGGATATAATTTTTACTTTTACTTATCTGAGAATATTCATCTGAAATTAACCAATTTCAGAGACCTTGGTAGATAGTATTTGTTTGAATTAAAAATAATAAAATCACTTGTATATTTTCTAGTATCTACAAACATGGTTGATAGTAGAACATTTAATTGAACAAGCATGGATACTGACTAATAAAAAATGATACCAGATGTAAACAATTGATATTAGTAAACTGGTAGGCATTGGTTAAATGTGAAATACACAGGATCTAATTGTTTTACTATATATATATATATATATATATTTTTTTTTTTTTTTTTTTTTGAGACGGAGTCTCGCTGTGTCACCCAGGCTGGAGTGCAGTGGCGCGATCTCGGCTCACTGCAAGCTCCGCCTCCCGGGTTTACGCCATTCTCCTGCCTCAGCCTCCGAGTAGCTGGGACTACAGGCGCCCGCCACCGCGCCCGGGTAGTTTTTTGTATTTTCCAGGATGGTCTCGATCTCCTGACCTCGTGATCCACCCGCCTCGGCCTCCCAAAGTGCTGGGATTACAGGCTTGAGCCACCGCGCCCGGCCTATATATATTTTTAAAAATTTACATAAATGCTAACCGATAAAATAAAATCAGCATACGTAATCTATTGGAATAACTTCAAAGATCAATTACTGAACATTTTCCCTTTATACCAACTTGGGAATAAAGAACATTAAAGTTCAAGATAACCAATTGGCAATTTTCGTAAGTAAATAAGGCAAGGTCACATTCACTAGGCCTTAACGCTGAGAGTTCAGTAAAATAGAGGATGCTGGGTTGCAATTCTGAACATTCAGAAAAATAGATTAGAAAAAAATGCTGCAGGCACAGGCAGATAACTGGCATGTGGCAGTGGCAGTTTTCTTTATAACATAACACTTACAGTTCTCTTTATATTGTATTTGCTATCTTAAGACAAAAATTTTATATTTTGAAATTGGTGCAGAGCATGAAACAAATTTGATTTTAAGTATTTTCAACGGTCTTATAATTATTTCCCAAATTTATGTTCACCCCACATGCCTTACCCACTACACATTCTGGATATTAATGCCATCATTATGTTGGATATCTTATGTTGGGATGCTAATTGAGGGGGTATTTCCTAATGCTAAACTTGTGTAGGAAAAGATTAAAATTATAAAGCTTAAAGATCATTGAATAGTTAATATTTGAGGAGGTAAAAATCTCACAATCACATATTTGAGATGTAATAGTGAAGGAATAGGTATGTGGTATAAAGAAGGGGCAATCAATGCTAAGAAAATCAGTGTTTCTTTAGTTGTATCCTCAGCAGAGATTTAAATAACTTTTGTTATTTTTTTCTCTCTTTTAGGGAATTAAAATTGGACTACTCTTTCTTACCCACAATCAAATTCCAGAGAAACCATTTGTGATGCTAATGAAGGAAATAGTCATGAACTTCATATTTCTCTAAGTATTTTCATGCCCATGCATTTGTGGATTGCAATATTTTCCTAACCCAGCTGTCTTTCTGAGTCACTGTCTCTGCTTCATCCTCTTAGATGTGGCATAGAACGTTTTAATCAGAGAAGCAAAAAGCTTGTTTTGCTGTTAGAACTAATGAGTTTCCAATTGATAAATTACATTAAATAGTAAACATCACATCAATAAATGTCTTGTCCTAAGATATTAAAAAATTCACATGAAGCCAATAACAACATAAGTGAAATGTTTGGCTTATTAATAAAGTAATGAAGAAAATTCTATCTGATTATTGTGCATGTACCATATACTGGACCAGAATTTACAATGTACATATATAGTTTATACCTGACAGCATTTAATGGGCTTGGAAAGACCCAATAAACCAAAATTATCTTTCACACACCTGCCAGGTCATCTATAATATTTCTCATCAAATTTATTTCGGTAGAGTAACACAGACATTGCCAACTGAAGTTAAGTGTAAAAAAACGTTATTTTCTAGGAAAGTAATGAATCCAAACAATTGTTATATTATATTAGTTTTGTCCAAACAGCCCTATCTCTTAGATGTGACCAAAATCTTTAAAGAACAAGATAAGGCAGATAAAGGTTAATATTAGGCAAAGGGTGAGATGCGGGAGATTGCCACAAGAGACTGACTGCTACAGGAGACATTCTGCAGTGGATGGCCTTGAAATGAGAGGGGAAGCATAACTCCTTGTTATGACACCTCAATGGCAGAAAGGATGATGAGCACCCAGTGTGAACTTGGCTAGGGGCCCTGCACATTATCCGTCTATTGCTTTCAAATACACCATGCGTCAGAGATTATTATCTCCATGGTCTAGATTAAGACATTGAGATGCAGGGAAATTAATACAGCAAGTAACAGAGGCAAAAGTAGAAGTGGTGATGACAAAGTTTCCTGGGAAAATCTACATATGTACATTAAGATGTATAAGAATAATTCTAATTATTAATAAGAGACAAAAAAAGAAAAAGAAAGAAGGTGGAAGGAAGGAGAAAGAAAGGAAAAGGGGGAAATAATAAAAAAGGAGAAAAATTTAAAAAAGATTTTTGAAAGACAAATAAAAATAAGTAGCCAATTATTGAGTTGCACACTTACCCTTAAATATTTTGTAGGTTGTCCAATAATTTGTAGATTGTCCATGAATGCTTCAAAAAGTATCCATAATCATAATTATAATCATGATCATAAGCAATGTGCATCAAAACCAGACCATGAGAAAGTAAATTTGAGTAGTAAGTTGGCCTATAGTATTACCAAATATTTCTTGAAATCAGGGAGTGCGTTGTTTGCCATGCTCTAAGCCTCGTCATGAGAAAATAAAAATAATTTACCCCAGTGGTGCTTACATATCTCAAATCTTTATTTTCAGCCTTAAATTCATTGACTCTACTAATTTTCAATTATTTTTATGGAGCCACACTTTTACGTGAATTTTTATTTTTTGTCTTCTCACTGCTCTGGAGTTTGTCTCTTCCTTGAAAGTAGTTATAAGTGACTGACAGGTATGGAAATACTAGAAGAATTCCCACAGAATCATTTCTTTGTATAGAAAATACAATGAATGCCTATTTATACAGTATGGTTAAGAATTGGGATAGCTTGGTTAATTGCAGTTCTAGTTAGCCGAGGAATTGTATGGCCAGGGAGAATTAATAGATGGTTACAAAAGTATACTGTGTGCATTAAATCTATTCTGGGGCTTACTACTTTTTTGCATTCATTTTTAATATATTCATGAAAAGATTTCTTGATACTGTATAATTAAGCATCTACCATTCAGAAATAGTTTATGGAATAGAAAAGATGAAGCTTATACTTGATTGCATTTCTGAGAGTGTGTACTTTTTAAGATTTTTGTGTTTACTAAGGTGCCATGATAAATGACTTCTTACCCATAAAATGAATCAGTTGCTATTTTGTCTATTGGTCAAAGCTGCATTTTATTCAAAAGACCTGAGGTGGTGACATTCAGGATATGTCCACAGAAGCCACTTTCACTTATATTAATATTGTATAATTTACTTCCCAAATAACGTATCTAGCCATATCTATAATGAAGCTGTGGAAAAAATTCTTATGTCACTTTATTTCAGCAACAATTACAAGGAACTGCATGTCAAATACAATCAGCATTCTGAGAGGCTTTCATTTCATTATTTGGCTGTATAATACACACATCTGTAGAGTAATATTCAGTTACCTGGGGTCATTTTCATTCATGAGTATT